TATTATATTATATTATATTATATTATATTATATTATATTATATTATATTATATTATATTATATTAATTACACTACACTACACTACTATATTATATTATACTATACTATACTATACTATACTATACTATATTATATTATATTATATTATATTATATTATATTATATTATATTATATTATATTATATTATATTTTGTGTTCTGCTATGGTCTAACGGTCAAATAATGAAGTATTATTCATAAGGCACTTTATATGGCAAGATCCATTTCCAAGGCTTGTTAGCTGGCCATTACAGTGTGGCATATTTGTAAGAATTTACAGGTTATACAATAACTCTGGATCATCAAAAAAAACTCTTATAAAAGCTCCCTTCATGATATTTTTCCACCCTAAGAATAATTATGGAAATAGGAAGGGTGGGGAAGGAAATAGGTAAGTAATAGATATTTTGGAAGAACTGCTTTTGTTTGTTTAGTCATTAAGGCAGCCACATTTTCTTTCAAGCTACTAAGCAAGCATGAAAATCAAACAACTTTAATGAATGGACTCATTAAAACAGTCGTACAATGTCAGCCATACTGTTAATACCATATATGCTTAGAGTTATTTAGAAACTTGGAAAAAAGCATGGCTGCTTTAATGAGCAACAGAGACAAGCTTGTGCTCATGAATGTTCCAAAGCATTCTTTTAACTCTGTGTGAAGTGATGATAATCTGATGAAAAAGGATGCTAGGCAGTGACTGACTGCACACTATGGTGGGAAGAGAAGAGAAGAAGACATACTTGCTGATGCAACAGGTCTATTCCTCTCACTTTGTTAGATGGACCTAAACTAAATATAACACTTTTATTACACCAAGGTTTCTTTTGAAAAATGTTTCATAACATGGTGATAATTCTGTCAACTCCAACCTGTAGCTTCCTGGGTATCTTTCTGGTTTCTTGACATCTACATATTTAGAATACTCTCTTGAGTGATACCTTCCAGCAGCTGAAGAGGCAGTAATGACATGAGTCTTATCCTTTCAAGAATCCATAGAGGTCTGCAAAGCCTGTTATGAAAGAAGAGGGAGAGATATTTTGCAAAGAGAAGAGTGCACCCTCTATGGCACTAGATCAGGGCAAGTAATGACCTTGTAATGCTATGGAGTTCATTTAATAGACAATCGTGGTTCCTTAGCACCACACCCAGTTTTGGTCAGCACATTACAAAAAACATGTTGAGGCTTTGGAAAAAGTGCAGAGAGAAGCAACTAAGATGATTAAAGGCCTGGAGACTAAAATATATGAAGAACAATTGCAGGAATTGGGTTTGGCTAGTCTAAAGAAAAGAAGGACCAGGGTTGACATGATAGCAATATTGCAATATTTGAGGGGTTGCCACCAAAAAGAGGGGATCAACTTATTTTCCAAAGCACCAGAAGGCAAGACAGAGAGCAATGGATGGAAGCTAATCAAGGAGAGAGGCAACCTGGAATTAAGAAGATACCTTATAACAGTGAGAACAATCAACCAGTGAAATGACTGGATGGCCACCTGTCTGAAATGGTATGAACATGGTATTGGATTAGAGGACCTCCAAGTTCCCTTCCAGCTCTATTTGGACTGTTTGATTAAATATTTGAGAGGTTGCCACAAAGAACAGTGGGTCAACCTATTTTCCAAAACACTTGAAGGCAGGACAAAAAACAATGGATGGAAATTGTTCAAGGAGAGAAGCAACCTGACAGAAATTTTCTGACAGTGAGAACAATAAACTAGTGGAACATGTTGCCTTCAGAGGTTGTGGGTGCCCCATCACTGGAGGTTTCTAAGAAAAGATTGGACAGTCGTTTGTCCAAAATGTTTTAGGGTCTCCTGTTTAAGCAGAGAGTTGGACTAGAAGACTCCAAGGTCCATTCCAACTCTGTTATTGTGTTAAAAAAAGAGGAAAAGGTGATATTACTTCCCAAGAGTCTTCAGTAAACAGCTACACCTAAATGCATGTACTGTATGCCCCCTCCTGCTGTCAACCAAAATCTTCCTTCTCCACAGAAGAGTCTGCAGCCTCAACTTCAACATAACATAATTCTAAGGATTTCCAACAGGTTTCTCTTAGCAAAAACAACATCATTTCTGCAACATCAGTTGGATTCTAGCTTTCTTTCCCCATTTTTTTATATTAGATACAAATGGCAGAATTCTGGGTACTTTTTGTGGGTGTTTTTCATTTTCTATGTTGTGCATAAATATGAGTATAGTTTTCTTGCCAAAAATTCTGGTTCTTTATGAAATATTTTTTTTAAGTGATGGTAGCCCTACCTTGAAAAATTGTGTCCTGCTTGCCTCTGTTCTCCTGGCATCAGGCAATCTTGGATCTGTTTGTTCCCTTCTTGGTCAGGGTTTCCTTCCTATGACCTCCTGACCATACATGAAGAAGATATGCCATCTCCATATCAGGAAAGTTCCTTCTTGACTTGTCACAGGCAGGAGCAGCCTCTGACAGTTTTCCCCATGGCTTTTGTCCATCGTGACTTGGTGTCTCTTTGAAATGAGTTCAGAACAGGGGTGAAATTCAGCAGCGTCTGACAGGTTCTGGAGAACCAGTAGCGGACATTTTGAGTAGTTTGGAGAACTGGCAAATACCACATCTGGCTGGCCCCAGAGTGGGATGGGAATGGAGATTTTGCAGTATCCTTCCCCCAGGAGTGGGGAGGGAATGGGGATTTGCAGTATTCTTTCTCTGTCATGGCCACCAAGCCACATCCACAGAACCAGTAGTAAAAAATTGAATTTCACCACTGATTCAGACCCCTTTCCAATCAGAAGGGAAACTTCTGTGGCATCTCAGATGTCCAGGTGGGTGTTCAAATGGACTGAGCACTCTTTGGGCTTCCAGGGGTCTCTGTAGTTGGCAGATGCCACATCCATCTTTCCATTTCTTGGAGACAGGCGGGTATTTATCACCTAGATGATTTATAACCTTACTCAGCAAAAATTGATGGCAGAGACGTAACGTGGCTCAGTGAGTAGTAAGACCAGTGGGAATAAACTGCAGCTTGAAGATGGAAAACTCCTCCCAGGGAGGCACTGCTGCTTTGGTACTGGTTTCCCAAACTGAGGGGCATCAGTGTTTCCTTGCTATACCATATTTTTCAGATTATAAGATACACCAAGATTTCGAAGAGGTAAGTAAGAAAAAAAATTGCCTTCCCTCAGCCCCCAGCAACACTCTGCAGGCTTCAGTAGGGCTGAGGAAAGGCAAAAATGCCCCTGTTTTTGTAAAAAACGGACCATTTTTTTGCAAAATCGGGAAGCATTTTTGCCTTACCCCAGACCTGCTGAAACCTGCAGAGTGCTGCTGGAGCGTGAGGGAAGGCAAAAATGCCTCAGTTTGTGTGAAAAATGTTGTGTTTTTTGCAAAAATGGGATGTGGGGATTCAGTGTATAAGACGCACTGACATTTCCATGCTCGGGGTTGCATCTTATACTCCAAAAAATACAGTAAGCGTTCTCATGTGAAATGACAGAAATCCCAGGAAGGAGCTGGTGAGAGTTTGCAGAGTGACAGAAGGGGGCTGAACTGGGTCAGAGCTTGAGGCTAGGAGAACCTTTGTGGAGGGAGGGGTCAACATGCACCATTATGTGACACACACACCCTTCAGAGGACTTGCATTGGATGGCAAGAAATACGAAGTTGCCCTCAAGACTGAAATGGTAACATTTAGAAATTTCTCAAATAGTGAAATGCACGGAAGTTGGTCTTGGAACAAAGACAGATTAGTCAGCTGATTCCCTCTATGTCTTTTTTTTATTTTTTATTTTTATTTTAAAACAAACAAAAGCATACATATAACATAAAAAATATCATCAATTACATATCTATTAAGCATATCCTTTGGTCACAAACATTTGTGCGTCACTGCTTTTGGTTGCATATAAAATCAACAGTTATCAACCCAATATACATTAATACATTGATTATAATTATAATTATATATTCAGTTTACTCTTATAATTTCTTCCTTCTAAACATGTATTCTAAAGATTGTATTCATAGGTATGCTAGCTATCTGTTACATCATTGTAAATCTATTTAATAATAACATATCTTTATGGTATCATCTACATATCTTATTCTGGTATTTCTTGCAATATATATATAAAAAAGGTTCACCAATATTTTATATTTGTGTATCATTACTTTCAGTTATTTGTAAAATCATAAAACATCTATCCAATATATATAAATACATCTTTATCATTGTGTCTCATATATTCAACTATGATTATTGTTTCTTCATTTTAAACAAAATATTCTAAATATTCCATTCCTATATATACCAATATTCCATTACTTTGCCTATGTCTTTCTTCTTTTCTTGTCCCAGGTACCGGATGCACAAATCCAGAATGTACAGCCAATGTGTCAGGATGCGGCATCTCTCTCAAGAATTTGGATGGCTTCAGATTACTCCTCAAGAATTTCTCTGTATGAAGGCTCTGCTCCTCTTCAGTATTAGTAAGCTGCTAGCATTTTTCATCTACCTGTATTTGTACTTAGAACAAAACATAAAATAACAGGGTTGAAAGGGACCTTGGAGGTCTTTTAGATCAATCCCCTGCTCCAGCAGGAGATCCTGTATCATTCTGGACCCAGATGAGGTGCTCCGAGGGGAGGGGTTGGCACTGCCACTGCTGCCATGGGCGGGGGCGCCTGCGGGAGCTTTAGCTGCTTCACCTCGGCTGCAGTGCTGGGCAGAAAATGTGTTGGTGATGTTGGAGGAGGAGGAGGAGG